CAGTTTATCCCCAGGAAACCATTTTTTTTTCATCCTAGATTAATTCAGCATTATGCACCATTACCTCCAGATTACTCAAGCACAACCAGCACCAATAAACTATAATTAAATTCACTCTTTGTCACTGGCACATCAGACTGGCTAAACCAGCAAATTTGCATATAGATTACCTTGCTTTTTGTCTGCTTTGAAGCATTTTAAGCACAACACAACAAAACCAGCTCCTGAACTAGCATACGTGTACATGCATGCACGCACCCTCTCCACACTTGACACCCAAAACAGACTTTGCATTTTTCTATGTTCACTATTTCTATTCAGTGCAATGGAAACTGTCACTAGCAAGATGAACAGCTGCCTTCCTTCAAAGCGGAATCTCTTGATTTCAGCCTCAGAATATGAAACAAACCACAGCAGGTCACATTCAGTTCCACAGCATTCCCCCAGTGATGTAGTAGATGGTGAAAAAGAAGATCTACAGGGAATCTGTGAATAAAAATTAGCATTTGTAAATGCAAGTGACATTGTGAGGAACCAAACCACTCCAGCTTGTGCACTTGCTGTGCTGTGAAAAATTACTTCTGTGGAAGGAGATTTCTGCTCACTTTCTATTTCTCTTCCCAGAGCGACCATCCACCTCCATGGGTGGCAGGGACAGCCGGGAGCCACTGGCTCCGCTCTCCTCTCTGCGGGCAGCAGAGACAGCCCAACCTGAAGAGATGCTGGTTTTAGAGGGGGTCTTCCTCCGCCCTCGGCTGCCCTTTCCTTCTCTCCTTTCTGCCTACAGAGGTACATGGTGTCTTCCTCCGGCCATGATATTACTGTTCCATTGAACCAATGCGTCTATACTACGGAAAGATCTATTTTATCTCATGTCAAAAGTGAAGGATGGGTATATTTTCATGTCATGTTTAGGCTGAGTGGAAAACAGGAAGAATCTGCATGTTTACAGGGTCAGAATGTTTATTTCATTCAGATGATCTATTTTTAATATCTTGAGGGGTTTTTGTCTTGTTTTGTGTTTGTTTTGTTTTAAGAGGGGGACTTTTTTGAGGGAGGGAGGCTTGTTTGCCACTGGCACAGATGAATCAATTTAAAGGAGTTATAGCTCACCACAGACAACGTGATTATTAGAAAAATAAAAAAGTTCTTCAAGCTTTATATTTGCCCCAAAGCCTAACGATTCCTGAAATCCAGCTCTGCTGGAGCCTCTGCACTGTCCTGTGCACTTGACTGCAGGATGAGCCACATGGGCTCTGCTTTGCTGCACAGGGAGAGCTACAGGAGACCCTGCCCTGGTCCACGCTGATGAGCCCTCCCAGCTGGGCTTCCTTCTGCCCATGAAAGGAAACAGAACTAAACTCCTGAGTGACATGAGCAAAGTGTCTTCTCCTTTGCTGTAGACATTGAGATGCATTCTCTAGCTGATTTTCCAGCTGAATATCTAGCTGAATTTTCCCTTTTCTCCATTATCTCCTCAGTGTCTTCATACTTAACATGCAAAAAATCCTCCATTTTTGGCCTGAGCTAAAGGATACACACCAAGGTGCTGGTGTTGCAGGAAGATATTACAGGTAATGAGCACTGACAACTCATCACAATTCCCTGGCTGCAAGAGGAGCATCCTCAGGATGAATCTGCAGCCCAGAGTGTTTGCGTTTGCACTAGTTTAAACTGGCCAGGCTGAGTGCAGCTGCCAACACTTCGAGCTGCAAAATGAAGCCCAGTTGCTAAGTATCAAAGCAACCAGCCCATGATGAGCATCATCTTGTTGCTGTTAAACTAGCGCTCAACTATCAGCACCCAAGCTAGGACCAACTACTTAGCCCAGCTACCACAACTGAAGTTGAAATTAAACAGCTAGATCAAGAAAGGAATAGGGCAGAGCAGGGGAGCTGCCCCTGGCTTTGCCCTTACGTACATTTTGTGTATGTTGGCTGGGACAGGTAGCTATTCTAGCAAAAACCATGTCACGAGGGTTGTAGTTAGGACTGGTTACAGGGTTCCTCTTTTCCAGAAATTCTTGACAGTCCCTTGCATATAGATGCAAAAATGTCAGGAATGCTCTCATATGATCCCTCTTGAGGATTCTTCCCTTCATAAAAACAGAGATGACTGAGGTTGGGGAGGAGGTGAAAAGAAATGTAGTAATTCTTCTCCCCAGTATTAAGAGACAGGAGGCAGGTGCAAATGTTGCACCCTTGGAGGTAGATACAATTTTTATTTGTTTTAGCCCAGTTATTTTTCCAGAGGGCTCATTATTCAAATGAGGACTAAAAAAGAAAAGAAGGGATGCTTCGTTTAAGCACAAGGTCATATCTGTCTCCAACTGAGACCATTTGCTACCCTTTGAATGAACAAAGAACATTTCCAGTGTTCTTTAAATAAGGATGCCAATGAACTTAACCAGCAAGGTCAGAAATAAAAACAGTATTTTTTCAACTCGTTGCTGAAAGCTGGGAGAGTATATCTGGTTCTGAATTTAGCAGAATTTTCTGGCTTGCACAGAAGCAAGATGTTGCTGAAACTGCTAAGCGTGGCTGAAAGGAAGAAGTAACTGGAAGAGAAGCTCAGCAGAGCTCACTATGCTGAGACCCACGCAGGGCAGGGGAAGAGCTGAGGACACAGTCTGTGTGTGCTTTGGCTCTGGAGAAGTTTCATTCTGGCCTGGACTAAGCTGGGCAACCAAATTTCTCCAGAATCATGAGGTTATCAAGATAATGAAGATAAATTTTTACCTGTTAAATCTACTGCCTTGTGCTCATTACACCTGCCTGCAGAAGTACTATCATTTCATTTTGAGGAGTTTATTCATATAATTTGGCAAGACGAGAAATATCTCAAGGATGATGGATTGTTTTCCTTGACGTCTCAGAAAAAATGACTCCCAGCAAGAGAGATATTTTCTTCTGGGATACTTCCTTGTGAAAACAGACAGGAAGAAAATGTGACTAAGAGTAATAAATTGCTCTTTGCCTTCACCACACACTTTTGTGTCACCAAGCATCCGCTCAGAGACAGCGATATCTAGCTTTGCTCACCCCACAGACCTCAAGAAATATTGAATCCTCAACTCCACCCTCCAAAGGTAATAGAAGAAAGACAGAACTTATCTCAGCTGCATGTCTTCAGAAGAGTATATATAAAACTCAAATTAATGCACAAAAATGATATGAAACTCTCCATTGCTCCCAAATGGGAAGCTCAGACTTTTGAAACAGCAGAAGACTTGAGCATATCTGTTTCCCTACTCTTCCTTACCAACCCTTGCCACTGCAAGAGAGAGCTGTTAAAGGAGCAAGTTTCAATCAAGTCTAAAACTGAGCCAGTCAGGAATCTACCAAAGGTTGACTTGGGGGAATTAAAATGAAGCACAATCACCGTAACATAATCCAATCACCACAAATTAGTGTTCTTTAGATAAAATGAGCTCATCAATATGATGTTTATTTTAGTACACCAAAAACACATTTTGGAAACATCACAGCAAATATTTTTGCTAAGTATGTTTCAGGCATCTATAAACCTTTCAGGCATTTATAATCACACATACAGTTTTCCTTAGTGGGCTTTTGATCTTGTTTTGCACTTATAATGGTGACATCAGACATTCAATGAAACAAGTATTTTAGCTTAGCGGTAACTGTTTTTTTCTGTGTAAGCTCTGATTTATAGCATATCATTCTTCAGAAAACATGGTAGAAGTCCATGAAGTATTCCCACTGACTATGAGCAGTTAAGCACATTGCTACAAAGGCTTCCAAAATAATGCTTCTGATATGAATAAGATAGTTATCTTATTTTCATCTAGACAAATACGTGGACAAATTTTAAAAACACTTAAATTGAAATACTCCTTTGACCACAGTCACCTGTTTCATATGGAATCTTGTACCAAGATCTAAAGGACACCTCTGGTCCCAAAGATTTAGAAAATCAGCTTTCCCATTTTTTTTTAATTGACTTTCCTTTTTCTTCTTTTATTTTAATTAAAAGCTTGTGATTTTCAGAAGTCTGAACAGTCTGAACAGTCTGAAGTCTGTTGACTTCAGAAAGGGCAACACTCTTTACAAATAAGAATACAGGTTTTTTTTTTTTTTTGCAGTGACATTTGTGGAGAACTGCAGTAGTTAAACATCTCCGCTCTGGTAATTAGATACATCTGTTGCAGAAAATTGGTCTGAGTCTATAAACCACTTCTGCTTGGCCAGGTGTAAATTGGGCCAGCAAACATTTTGAAACTGTACAGAAAGTGCTATAAATGTGCAGCTACAACCAGAAATGTGGTTTTATAAGTGACCTCTTATGTCTATCTGTTTCCTGAGACTATTTTCTGAGCTGGCAAGATGCTGTGTTCTCCACATCTTATTTGCACTGCAAAGCATTTGGATACAGAAGCAGCAACAAGATTATCTTCGGTCTTGCACACAGCAGTTCCACTGTATTCTAAAATCTTCATGAATGATAGATAATGATCAAGACCTAATTACTCTAAGGTGATCCCTGCATACAATACTGCAGGGAGCCACACAGCACCGTTCCTGCTTGCTGGAGCTACGGGGAAACCTTGCATTTCTGTTCCTTTCCCCCTGAGGAAGGCAGAATTCCCGGGCTATTTACCTGTTACCAGCAGGAGTGGCAGCAGTGCCACTGCAGCAGCAGCTACGGGATCACACAAGTGCTTGGACAAAAGCCTTTGTCCTCCTCCCACAGGCAGTTTTGCTATGAAACCCGCAATGTAAGATGTGTACTTTTGCAAGATTTTTCATCAGAAATTATTCAATAGTTATGACCACACCATGCACTACAGGATTACCAGTCATTAAAATTAAAAGCATTCTTAAGTAACACTGCTGATCAAGAACAAACTGGATTAGAAAATAGCCAGAATTTTGCGGAAGTCCTTCTATCCCATAAAATATAAGGGTCCTTGCAGTTAAGTTGTTCGCATATGACAGAACTGGTGTATGATATTTGCAGAACCTTTTCTTGCACATTACCTTTAAGACAAAACAGTGATCTGTAGGTGCCTTGTACTTCACTTTGTGCTGAGTACCATAATAAACATTCATATTCTCAAACTGAATGAAGCACGCCAGATCCCGGGATGTCTGCAAATGAAAATCAAGCACACCCTGGTTAGAAGGAATTAGACCTTGATGCAAGACTCATTGAAGGACTGTTTCTAAAATGCAGTCACACTGTTGTTTTTTTTTTTTTGTCATGGAGGTGACTAAGGAAAACTGAATTTGAACCGTGTGCATTGTTAATCTAACAACTGGAAGGGGTCAGTACACACTGGGTATAACATGTAACATGGCAACACTTTGCTGTTGTTCTGATTTTGCTGTGCTTCAGTGCTTTGTGTGCAGGTTTTGGTTAAAGATTAATAAGACTGAATAGAAGAAAAATATTAATAACTTTAATACATATGTAGACCTAATCAAGTTCTTAGAGTTCTGAGGGGAGAAAGAAGGTTGGGGTTTCTAAATTTGGGTTCTAAATTGCATTAGGAGCTTGTTTTTCCTTCATATTTGTAACAAATGCAAATTCTCATTAGGGAATAAGCTCACATCTCAAGTGTTCTGCTTTGAATTTTCTCAAATTTCCTGGCATCATTCCTTTTCTGTTTATCATAATATTTCATAGTTCATAGTATGTTGCTGAAGTAACAAGGTGTCTGTTGCTGGCATGCTTTTCTGTACAGAAGAATTCTGCTACAAAGCAACCCTTTTCTGTCTTCTGGAGGGATAGCAAAAATGGCCATGTCATTGCTAAATGACTAACCTTAAAATTGTAGGAAAAAAAAAAAAGAATAAATCCCATCGCTCTCTCTACTCTCTCTATCTCTCTATATTGCTAAGGCCAAGGTTATATTTCAGCATATGATGAGTCTTCTGTGCCGTTTTTAATCTTATTGTTAATTTTATTAAGATACACCCTTCAGGGGAGTTTATTTATTCCAATGCACTTATAAATTTGCAGTCAACTGGGTTTGCTGGCAAGATTTTGGAGGAGAGGAAAATCTCCATATTCTACCTAGATAGAGCTTCTCTATCACCGCAGGCCCCCCTGAAGTTCATGTGATTTTGTCACTGACTGCGATTTTCCAACACTGCAAGTTCCTTAGCGTGCTCAAATCCATGCTATATAATAAGGAATTGCTCCTTTCCTTTAAGAACCTGTTTTTGGAAATTACTGTGCATGCAGATATTTTCTTCTAAGTAAGGAACAAATTTTCATGCAAGGGGCAATCAAAGGCACTTATTGCTACTACTCTGCAATTTTAACATGACCAGTCAAAAGAATATAATTAACAGAATTTACTTTTAAAATTGTGTCTGCAATTTGGGTTCAGCTGTTTTGTGGTCCTGTCCATTAGCAACATTTTTTTTTTAAAATTAGATGCAAGTAGATTAATGCTGAAGAAAGAAACTAATATGAATACGCTGATGGGTGCCTCATTTTTTTTAAAGAAAGCATGCATGCAAAATTATGTGAAAGTGTCTCTGCATTTTCAAAGGTCTGCAATGTTTTTATAGCCAACACAAAGTGCCCAAAGTATGCCAGAATTCCTAGGGCTTTTTTTTTAAATAAAAAAAAAACATGATTATAAGATTAATTTCTAAACAGCTGCGGCAGCTGGAGATATTATTGTCCACCAGCTGTTTGTTTCTGTACCTCAGTGAAAGACTCCAACCCCTCCGCAGGGTCCTCCTGTAGGGCTCTGAGATGTGAACACCCAGCACCCTGCTCACCTACCAGAGCTTACTGTCTCCCTAAAAGAGATCTGTACCTCAGCCCCAGTTCTTCCCACACAGGGCCCATTCATCAGCTTAAATCACATTAAGTGTAGATCTGGGCTACGAGTCTTTCTCTGGGCTGGCTGATGCGTGGATGTTTGCATCCTTTTGCTGAAGCTGCTACTGAAGCGAACAGAACCATCTTAAAGAGCTGTGACGCTCTCCTAAAGAACTTGAGGCAAGGTCCTAAGCCACTGTGCCTGGCTGGGCTGGCAAGGCGGTGAGTTCCCAGCTCTCCCACCATTCCTTACTACAGCTTAGTTGTAGACCGGGTGGCAGAGAAGTGCAGTGACTGGCAGGCAATAAAGTCTTCAGCCCAAACGGCTGTTCCAGGGGGCTGCGTAACTCCATCCTGACCCTACATTTGCAGAACAGCAGCACTTTCCTTATCTCAACTATGACGGAAAGTCACTGCAGGATGCAAAAAAGGTGGGGGAAATATCAGTACCTGCTCATCCTGCTGAGGCACCCTGCTGCCGGCCACCGGGGGTGGCAGGGGACAGTG